ACCTCCTCTACCCTCAAATAAAGTAATGCCTCATAAATACTATGCTAAATGTTACACAAAAGTGAAAATGTTTGACAGAGACTCAGACCTTACCTAGAAGGGATCATGGTTTTTTGAGTCCGGAAAAAAAGGTAATGGCTCTTATAAGACAATTAGATATCAGTGAGAAATCCTGAAACATGCTATGAAAGTCTAGAAAAGAGACTCCAAACCCCTCTCATCCATCATAAATGGAGAAACCAGGAGTTCTGTGCCCTAAAAAACAGGAAGTTTGAGCAAGTTCAGGCTCAGGAAGCAATTTAGTGAACACTGCCAGCCAAAAATACTTAACAACATTGTTCCTGCAGCCCACAATTTGGGGCTAAAATATGTAGTATAATACAAAAAATTACAAAGAAATGAGAATCAAAACAATGAAAATAAGATTCTACCTAGCAGCCCAAATCTGCTCTGACAGCAATAGAGTTTGTGGCTAACCCTGAAATCTACTCTTATAAGCTATAATGATCAAAGCAAAAACAAGAAATTGAGACCTTAGAAAATGCTTGTTTCAAGTGCTTCATGCATACATTTTTTTTACATTTTCCAAATGGTTTATTGTCATGACACCTTATATCTGATTCAGGACTGCACTCACACTCAGCAAGAGGGACATCAGAAATGAGCATCTCTAACAGTAAAGTCATCCTTCCCCGCTAGAGCACATAAAATGCACGTGCTGAATCCCTAACATGGTGTCCAGACTGTCCAGATGTCTTAGCCCAGCCAACAGTCAGGGCTCTCCACAGTCTGGCAATTGTCCTCCTTTCCAGTGTTACCTTCCACCGCTCCTCAACCCAATCCTCTGCCCCAAGTAGACAGCCATTTCCTCCCTCCCCTCCATTCCACATGCCCAGCACAGTACTTGTTCACCAGATCACAGCTGCCTAGGTCAGCTCCAACGATAATGACCCACATCTTCCCTTCTGCATATCAAATTCCTTCCTAGCCCCCAAGGCTTGGCTCAAGCTCCACACCCTCTATATTCAAAGCACGTGTTCCTTAAACATCCCAGCTACAAGTGTTCTTTCCTTCCCTCAACCATTTGTCATGGTCCTGACTCATGCTCGCCTCCCTTGAGTGTAATTCTCTTTTTTGTTCCTTTCCTTTCCTATTAGCCCATGCCCATGAGAAACCGAGGTTGGAATTCTCTCTTATTTATATTTGTATCCCTTCAGACTACTTCCAGAGTCCCTTACACATTACAGGTACTCAATAAACTTTGTTATCTTTTTGGTAAATAAAAATATTGTCCACAGTTTATGAATCCCATGAACAAATAAGAGCATGTTATTCTCTAGACTGCTCCCCTCCTCCCTAGTTCTTTCTTCATGTTACTGAAGTCTGCTCTCAGCTTATGCTTTTCAGAAGGTTTCTGGAGCCCTGTTTGCCTAGAATTGTCCATGTTCAGCCCTTGGTTCCTCCCCTCCATTCCTCTTCGAAGAACTTTTACTTACTTATTTATTTATTTATTTAATTTATTTATTTGTTATTGAGACAAGGTCTCATTCTATCACCCGGGCTGGAGTGCAGCGATGTGAACAGGGCTTACCATGCCTCGACCTCCCAGGCTCAAAAAATTCTTCCGCCTCAGCCTCCCCAGTAGCTGGAACCACAGGCAGGCACCATCACACCTGGCTTTTGTTTTTGTTTTTGTTTTGTTTTTGTTTTTGTTTTGTACAGACAAGGTCTTGCGACATTGCTGAGGCTGCTCTCCAACCTGGCTCAAGTGAGCCTCCCTCCTCGGCATCCCAAAGTGCTGGGACTACGGACGTGAGCCGTTGAGTGGCCTGAAGAGCTTCTCTCCTCAGTTTCTGCTACGCTCTCTCCCTCTCTGGTGGAGGGACATCCACAGCAGCTATAGATTCTCTGGTTAGTTGAACACTGATCCTGAGTTTGTCTTTCTAAAATACTCCTGGCACAGCCATCATCCCAAATTTCAGACGTTGGGGTTTATGCAGCAACATGATCACAGAGTTTTGTTTACTTCAGCTGTAATCCATTCTGTGACAAGCAGACATTTCCAGGTGTGTCCTATCACAGCCAGACCATCATCCTCGCTGCCACTCCCACCTGCAATGCCCCAGGCTGCCCTGTCTTCATGCCCTGGAAAGTGTGCACAGCAGAATACATAAAACCAGAACCTCCAACCAGAGACTTGCGAGAAACACACCATTCCTAGGCCACTTGCTGTGGGAAAAAGACAGTTTCTAACTAATGAAAGAAGACTAAGTCATAATTGGAAATGCAGGTTTTCCCTTTCAAGGAGAAATTAATGTTGGCAGAGTTGCTCTTTTGAGCTGCCCTCCAATGATTTTGGAAGATCCATTTTAGAAGAGAGAAGGAAAGGAAGACAGTGTGAATGGCAAAGGGAGAGAAGAAAATAGTGAAAGAGAAGGCGATGGAAAGAGAATACAGAAAAGGAGGGAGACAGATGGAGGAGGGGGTAGAAGGGAGAGGGAGAGAATAAGGATCCAAAAGAGAAGGGAGCAGATTGGGGAGTGGGGAGGGCAAGGGAAGAAGGGGAGGAAAAGGGAAAAGCGGAAGGAGAGGGTGGAGGAAGACTGACTGGGGGTACCACCACTGGATCTCATAAGCACGGGGCCATCGGTGCTGCAGTGGTCTTGACTTCTCCCTCTGGGAACTCTAACATCCACTAGGAGACAGGCCCCCCACAGCTTGTTAGAAATACTCAGTGCTACAAAATCTGTGTCAGAGTTCCCTAGCCCCAGACAACTGAACAGAACTCAGGAGTTCAATCTCCAAAGGCTGTTGTTACCCTTCTGCTCTCAGTACCTATTAAAGAGGCAATATCTTTGAAAAGTAGGTGGCCACACCCATCCAGAGTATGCCTTATGTTCCAGATTACCTATTAATAACTTCCCCTGTCCTCACTAGTTCTCCAGATTGGATGCTGAATTATTTGGTCTCCCTATTAATAAGAAACACAAGAAACTAAAACTTAGTAAATCTCTAAACAGATTGAAATATTCAGTCTGATCATTCCCAGAAAGAGAATGAGCCTGAATTGATGACCAGAAGGACTCTTCCTGGAGGAGCCAAGGTATGTGAGATAGTTCTAGGGATAATATGGCAGTGGGGTTGGAGGAGGGCACCGAAATCAGGCTTCATAGGACAAGGCTATATATAGCACATGCCTTGAATATTGAAATAATAATTTATGGAAATCACTGTTTAAGATTGGTGGCCAGGCATGGTGGCTCATGCCTGTAATCCGAGCACTTTAGGAGGCCATGGTGGTAGGATTGCTTGAGCTCAGGAATTCAAGACCAGCCTGGACAACATAGTGAGACCCCCATCTCCACAAAAAATACAAAGTGGTGGCGTACACCTGTATTTCCAGCTACTTGGGAGGCTGAGGTGGGAAGATCACTTGAGCCTGGAGGCAGAGGTTGCAGTGAGCCAAGATTGCACAAGATCGCACTGCTACACTCCAGCCTAGGTGACAGACAGAGCAAGACCCTGTTAAAAAAAAAAAAAAAAAAAATCCAATGGCAGGGGAAGAAAAGACCACAGTGATAGTTTCTGAAAGGTAAAGCAGAACAAATGATAGATAAATAATGTTTGAAAAATCTCATGTAATAGAGAAACACTATAATAATTTCTGGTTGGTGGTGAAGCATAGCAATGAATTATTCATTCTAAAATATACACTGTGAAGGCTCAAGTTAAGACCTCTTAACTCTCCCATACCAAGAGTCTATCATAAGGAAGGAAAAAAGGGAGGAAAAGAAAGAGGAAGGAAGAAAGTGAGGGAGGAAGAAAAGGCAAATTTCAAGGCAATCTGTGGGAAGAAGAAAATCTAAGATATTAAACTATGAAGTGAATTATTACCACCAGGAAACTAAAGAGCAATGAGGCATTCCCTAGATAATAAACAGAGAGGAGGGGATAATCCAATAAGCATCTTGACAGGGAGAAGAAATCTTCTGGGGAATGTAAGAAAATACTACTTTAGCCCCACCCTTATCCCAATAATCATTCACATTATTTACTCAATCATTCATTCATTCAGCACACATTCCAGAAGCTGTGCAGAATACAGTAAAGCCCAAGTTGAATCTGAGGGCTCTCACTGAGCATCCTCCATGTGTCAGACCCTGTGCTAGATGCTAGAGGCACAGGCATGAAGGAGATATGGAGCTCCAGGCTGGGAAGGTCTCAGATGCAATCTAGAAATTGCTACAGTTCTAGATCCTCGGTGGGATTTGAGCCTGCCAAAGGATGAACCAAGAAGTCCCATTCAGACCAAAATTCACCTGTAGCAGACCACCTTGATATGTGGAAATAGTTTCCTAATAAAAGTTCTGCAATATAGCATGCTTCTCTTTTTGCCTTGAGTCATAGCTAAGCGTGGTACAAATCTGCAATCAGTATCCCTGGGCTAGGTTTTCTTACATTTAATTTCCCCAAAACATAATTACAGGACTCTTGTACTATTATCCTGGTTGTAGTGCTTCTATTAAGTATTGTTTTACTCTAAATCACCTCAAATTATTCCTAGAAGAAAACAACTTATAAAATGATTGTTAAAAATAAAAACAAATTTTAATATTAGAAAACATGAATTGACGCAGGAACCCTAGAGATTTCCAGTGGGTCCTGTAAGGACAGAGAAGTCCCAGAAAGAGGCCAGATACCCTGGCTCACTCAAAACTGAGGAAGACACTCTAGGCCAGGACACTCCAGAACTGCCCTCTAATCTAGGGCTGATCACGACCAAATCAATGGAAGTGAAAATGAGTTAATTGACAGTCCATATCAGATTTCCTATATAGTCAAATACATTGTCTCCTCATCTGATAGCAGCCCTAGGCACAGAAACCAAGTGTTCAACTTTCCCTGTGACACCAGGCAGGATAAGTGGGGGGAATTCAATGTGAGCCACACCACTCCCAATCTCATGTGGTAACAGAGCCTCGGTGACTGGATCTACTTACATCAACAGGGGCAGAGCATTCTCTGTGGAGCAGGATCCTCAAAAACAGCTGGCCTCTACTTCTCTTCAATTATTTCAGCTTCTTTAGAACAATTCAAGCCACAAACCTTGGAACTTTCTATAGCATTGAACCCCAGGCAACTTGTAGATCTCCCTTGATGGAGGCTGGGAAAAAGAGAAAGCAATATTTTATTACAGACTTCGGTTCTATTCACATTTCTTTCGTCCTTGGCACTCCTGTCCAGCACTGTGCAAAAGAAGCTTTCCAAGCACACCAGGCACTGAAGGAATTGGATGTATCCCAGAGGATCTCAGAGGGATGTTGTTTATACCTACTGATATTTGCCCAGTTAGAAATTAAAACTGAGAATTTAAAATTTGTGTATTAACTCATTAAATAATAGTAATTTTGTTGAATAATACTTGTTATAAAAATAACTTTATCTTCAAAATTGTTATAAAAATAACTTCATCTTCAAAATGAGAAGAATTATATCATTTTACATTCTTTAAAATCTCTTAAATATTTGGCTTGACCAGACACAGTTGTATTATCATATCTGCTTCTGGATTCAATTTGTTGCAATGGCACATGTCACTGAGCCTCTGGAAAACTCCACTGTACACTCATGAGAGAATGAGAATAAAAGCAACTTGGTATTATTATTAAAATAATTTTGATCTATGGATCTCCTGAAAGGGTCTCAAGGACTCCCAGGAATCCCAGAACACGCTGGGAATCACTGCTCTGGACAATGAAAAGTGAGTCTCATTTCCACCACACCATCCCCACCTTCAGAAGTAACTAGTTATCAGTTACTTGAGTAATTTTCTAGAAATACTTTACACACATATAAAAACTATGGATTTGTAGTGTTTTGGGTTTTTTTGTTTGTTTGTTTGTTTTGCTGTAGTATTCTTTAGACAGGGTCTTGCTTTGTTGCCCAGGCTGGAGTGGAGTGGAGTGATCATAGCTCACGGCAGCCTTGAACTCCTGGGCTCAAGTGATCCTTTTGCCTCAGCCTCCTGAGTAGCTAGGACTACAGGCACACACCACCATGCCCAGCTAATTTTTGTATTTTTTTATAGAGACCAGGTCTTGCTATGTTGCCCAAGCTGGTCTCGAACTCCTGGCTTCAGGCAATCAAGCGATCCTCCCACCTCGGCCTCACAAAGTGCTGGGATTACAAATGTGAGCCACCATACCTTGAGAGGCACAGATTTTTAATTTAAAAAGTTGGATATTAGCATGCTATATATTTCACCTTGGCTTGTCTGTTATACATGTTGGGGACAGTTCCACGTCTGCATACATAGTTACCTCTTTCCTTTCCTCTGATCTGGTGTGTCCCCCTGAATGGATATAACTCCCTATAACTATATACAGTGCCACAGTGTTCAGGCGGGCTGCTGAATGGCTGCTGTAAGTTGCCCATTTCTTTAGTGGAGTACTTATTGGGAATAAAATGGCCACACAAAGCAAGAACAAATGCTACACATCTTAGCACAACTTTCCTCCAGCTTCTAGTTTCCTAACAAGGTATCCAGCTGAAGTCTTGCAAAGTTGACAAAACAACCAAACTTTTACTATACTTCTGCCCTTTACTACTTGGGGCTTACCTCACACTGCTCCAGAAAATTAACATTAACAATCTCTGAGCTAATGTTTATAGGGATGTTTACAACCACCAGTCTCTCCTAGTTCTTGAAACACTCACTATCATCAGCATCACATCAGCGTCAGGGAAGAAAACAGGACCCAAGTGTCCCCAAACAGTTTTTCGTTTGTTTGTTTGTTTGTTTTTTGTTTTTTGAGACAGAGTCTCACTCTATCACCCAGGCTGGAGTGCAGTAGACACGATCCATGATCTCAACCACTGCAACCTCCGCCTCTAGGGTTCAAGTGATTCTCATGCCTCAGCTTCCCAAGTATCTAGGATTACAGGCATGCGCCACCATGCTTGGCTAGTTTTTGTATTTTTATAGAGACAGGGTTTGGACATGTTGCTCAGGCTGGTCTCGAACTCCTGACCTCAGGTGATCCACTCGCCTTGGCGTCCCAAAGTGCTGGGATTACAGGCATGAGCCACCGTGCCCAGCCCTCAAACAATATTTCTGAAAGCTAGTTTCCCGCAGTACTAAGGTGGCAAAAGGTAAATCCTGTTGGTTCACAATTTCGCTGACATAGAAGCTAAAGGAACCCCCACCTCATAAAGCTAATTTGCTTTGATCACATTGAAGATCTCAAATGCTAAAAGTTTCTTTCTTTGTTTGTTTGCTTGTTTGTTTGTTAAGACAGGGCCTTGCTCTGTCACACAGGTTGAAGTGCAGTAGTGTGATCATGGCTCACTGCAACCTCCACCTCCTGGGTTCAAGCGATCCTCCTACCTCAGCCTCCCAAGTAGCCGGGACTGCAGGTGCATGCCACCACACCCAGCTAATTTTTGTATTTTTTGTACAGACAAGGTTTTGCCATGTAGCCCAGGCTGATCGCTAACTCCTGAGTTCAAGCAGTCCTCCCACCTCGTCCTCCCAATGTGCTGGGATTAGAGGCATAAGCCACTATGCCTGGCCACAAATGCTAAAAGTTTTATAGACTATCTGAGTTCATTTCTTCACTCAGATTTACTAGCTGTACAATCTTGGGAGGTTGCTTAGCATCTACTTGTAAAATAGAGATGATACTTATGTGACAAAGTTATGAGGAAGTATAATTATAATTATGTAGAAAATGTTCCTACCACATAGTGGGTACTCAGCACTCAGTAATTGTTAAGTCCCCTTTCCTTATTGTCTATGAACCAAAATGAGCTGTGGGGGCTGATCTTATGTCCTGGACTTAGCTGGTTTCTCAGGGAACCCCAGTGGTGTAGTCTTTTAGGAAGTCTGGGAATGTAGGAAACTGAGGTAAGAGAAGACGGTAGAGCATTTTTTTCCCAAACAAAAGGAATTTCCTGGAGTGTCTGTCATCTGTCTGATTCAAGATGAGAAGCACAAGTCTGCTTTCCTGCATCCCTCCCCACCAAGCCAGGAAGATGGGCACCAACAGTCCCTGCATTTCTGTTTCAGCTTTCCAATCTGTCTCTGAAATTACATAGTCCAGTGTGGTTTGCATTTGTAGGTCCATAGAGCATACAGAAAACCCCGCCCAGGCTTGGAGGAGCCCCTCAGCTAAGTATGACAATTTTTGAATCCTTCCAAGAGTAGAACCAGTACCTACAATTACAGGATGTATTATTACCTCCATTTACAAATGAGGAAACCAATATTTAGAGATGCTAACTAAATTCCCCAAGCAGCCCTAACAAGGCCAGAGTCGGAATTCCAAACCAAGTCTGTCTTATGCCAAAGTGCATGTTTTCAACCACATCATCAGATGACGCTCCAACTAGGAAAGATAACACCTTTCCCATGATGTAGTGAAGCCAGCCGGTTTCTTGGAGATAGTGAGATTTCACAGGACAGACAAATATCCTTAACCATAGGCTGATGGTCTTACTTAAGCAAAAGTATAACTAAAATCAAAGTCAAAATTCTTCAGAAAATTATTTCTAAACTTGACACAAAAGTAGAATGGTAAAACACCAAAGAGTAAACCAAGATTCAATTCATTTTTGGATTATTGTAGATTATTTATTTTACTTAAATTTAATTAGTATTTTGTTAGGAGATTAAGATTATTACATTATTTCAATAGATTATTGTTTTAATAGCTTAATAATTTAATAGGAATTTATTCAACCATGTTTTTGAGTTCCTAATATATAATATGCACTATAGTTGATAGAAAGATGAAGGAAACATGTTCCTTGGCCTCAAAAAAGATATAAAGGATACTACAAGATAAGGTAGATATATAGTTTGGGTTGGTAAGGTAGTAAGAAAGAAAAGAACAAGGCACTAAAAGAAGGAGAAATCAAGCCAGTTGAGAGTTCCCTAAAGATTTGTTGGAGTGAGGAGGCATTATTTGAGCTGACTCTTGAAATATCACTAGGATTTTGTCAGGTAGAAAGAATGCAGACAAAAGTCTAAGAAAAGGGAACAATTTGAATAGGCAAGTTATGAGATAAGAAGACTAATAAATAGTTGGCAGGAGGACAGGAACACACAGGTAATTGAAGACAAAGCTGGAAGCTGGAAGATGATTGAGGTGGGAAAACGCAGGGCTCCGAATGCCACCAAGGGGTGAGCACAAGAGAGCCAGGAAGGGCTTTGGAGAGGTGGGATGGCAGGCTCAGAGAAGCTCTGTGAGGCTGAACCTGGCATATGGAGTGCTTTGGAGGAGAGACCTGGGACAGGATGACCAATGAAAGCCTTATGTACAATAATGACATCAGGAAAGGGAAATAAATAATGTGGACATATAATAATATAGAGAGGGGCTGGGCACGATGGCTCATGCCTGTAATCCCAGCACTTCGGGAGGCCAACGCAGGTGGATCATTTGAGGCCAGAAGTTCAAGACCACCCTGGCCAACAAGGTGAAAACACGTCTTTACTAAAAATACAAAAATTAGCTGGGCATGGTGGTGCACACCCACTGTAATCTCAGCTGCTTCGGAGGCTGGGACATGAGAATCACTTGAACCTGGAAGGCTGAGGTTGCAGTGAGCTGAGATCGAGTCACTGCACTCCAGCCAGGGTAACAGAGCAAGACTGTCTCAAAAAATAATAATAATAATGTGGAGAGAATTGAGAATTGACCAGTGACTACCACAGGAGGGAAGAAGGAAGGAGTCAAAAAGCCTGGGTGTCTGGGCTGCATGTGACCAGGAGCACATAGTTATTTATTTATTTATGAATTTATTTTTGATATGGAGTCTCACTCTGTTGCCTAGGCTGGAGTGCAGTGATGCAATCTTGGTTCATTGCAACCTTCACCTCCCAGGTTCAAGTGATTCTCCTGCTTCAGCCTCCTGTGTAGCTGAGATTACAGGTGTGCGCCACTCCACCCTGCTAATTTTTGTATTTTTAGTAGAGATGGGGTTTCACCATGTTGGCCAGGCTGTTCTCGAATTCCTGACCTCAAGTGATCTGCCTTCCTTGGCCTCCCAAAATGTTGGGATTACAGGCATGAGCCACAGCACCTGGCCAGTTATTTATTTATTTATTTTTAACCTGGAAGAGGAATTGGTTTGTAAGGGGAGACTGTGAGTTTGGTTTGA